CACACACCTAATAAATAGTAAGTCAAAGTCAAAATCACAGTCTTCGTTGTCCAAACTTAATTGATATGCTTGGTGTGGAACATTATCTTGAAACTGTGTCTTCCTCGTTTAGTGACGCCTGTGGAGAGACGACTCTGCCTGTGAGCTGCTGGATCGGCGTTCAGCACTTGAAACATCACAAGCCGATGTTCACAAGTCAGTGGTTAGTTACTCTTTGACTCTGACTTCGTCTACTCCATGCGTTTCTCTGCCTAGGAGGACGCGATCATCTCTGGCTTCATTCACTTCGGCACCGACACAACACCATGGATCACACAGCAGAAGACACGAGCCAGGACCAGAGCTAGAACCTCTCCGCCGCCCCTCCCGGTCTTGGAGATTTCGACCCAGAACCGCTTCTCCCCTTTTTGTGAGTCGGAACGCGCCGCCGCCGTGGTCATCGGCACGCCAATGGTCCGTCATGTCCGTGCTACCTCGGGTAAGGATCAGGTGCGCACTCACTGCTTTCCTGGTGCTCATGTTATTGATGTTGCTGCACAGGTTCCCGAGATCCTGAACGGTGATGAGCGTGTCAGAGCTGTTGTGCTGAACGTGGGAGTGAATGACATCAGGCTGAGGTTCTGAAGGACTACAGGAGCCTGATCGAGACGGTACGCAACACATCGCCTGAAGCAATGACCCTTGCACATCTAACCCTTTCTGTGTCTTCTTTAAATAATCTTTTCTAGATTTTTTTTTTCCGACTAAGTTTCACTAGTCGTCTTCTAATTGATTTATCTTTAAAAAAGAAAATAAATTTCTAATCTTTAAGCACATCCACGCGCACGCTATTTAGCTGGCACTTAACTGTTCAATTACTGGCCAGAATTGAACAGTTAAAGCCCCACGCTGGGCGCCATGTTTTACGGTGTGTGCTTTAATCTTAACACCTTTTAACCTTATTATTTATTGTCCTCAGGTTAGGTCGAATAAGTCAAATCTGCCCTAGATCATTAGCATTCGATTGGTATTTACAATTGTTCAGATGACTTCTCTGTGGTCAGTTCTTGCTTAAGGTTTATTAACACTGTTAGACGATTACTTGTAATTAGCATTAGTTATTTATTAATGTAAATATTCCAGAAAGAAAAGTTAGGCTCAAACTTAAATTCTTTATGCTCAAACTCTGGAATCTACTCCTGTGTAAGGGAAATCATTATGGACATCAGCTATGCTAATTAGTTCCCATCTGTTTTCTGTTGTTATCTCGGGACGCTTGTCCCGAGAAAAATGGCGTTCGTCAACTCCAGTTTGTCGGAGCTGCTGTACTGCACGTGGGAGTGAACGACATCAGGCTGAGGTTCTGAAGAAATTCTACAGGAGCCTGATAAAGACGGTACCCAACACATCGCCTGAAGCAACGATCATTGTGTCTGGGCCGCTTCCCACGTACAGACAAGGACAGGAAAGGTTCAGTAGATTATTTGCACACACCTAATAAATAGTAAGTTAAAATCACAGTCTTTGTTGTCCAAACTTAATTGATATGCTTGGTGTGGAACATTATCTTGAAACTGTGTCTATTCCTCGTTTAGTGACGCTTGTGGAGAGACGACTCTGCCTGTGAGCTGCTGGATCGGCGGTCGGCGCTTGAAACATCACAAGCCGATGTTCACGAGTCAGTGGTTAGTTACTCTTTGACTCTGACTTCGTCTACTCCAAGCGTTTCTCTGCCCAGGAGGACGCGTTCATCTCTGGATTCATTCGGTCGAGCACTGACACAACACCATGGATCACACAGCGGAAGACACGAGCCAGGACCAGAGCAAGAACCTCTCCGCCGCCCCTCCCGGTCTTGGAGATCTCGACCCGGAACCGCTTCTCCCCTCTTAGCGAGCCGGAACGCGACGCCACCGTGATCATGGGCACGTCCATGGTCCGTCATGTCCGTGCTGCCTCAGGTAAGGATAAGGTGCGCACTCACTGCTTTCCTGGTGCTCATGTTATTGATGTTGCTGCACAGGTTCCCGAGATCCTGAACGGTGATGAGCGCGTCGCAGCTGTTGTGCTGAACGTGGGAGCGAACGACATCAGGCTGAGGTTCTGAAGAAGTTCTACAGGAGCCTGATCGAGATGGTACGCAACACATCGCCTGAAGCTACGATCATTGTGTCTGGGCTGCTTCCCACGTACAGACAAGGACAAGAAAGGTTGAGGAGATTATTTGCACACACCTAATAAATAGTAAGTCAAAGTCCAAATCACAGTCTTTGTTGTCCAAACTTAATTGATATGCTTAGTGTGGAACATTATCTTGAAACTGTGGCTATTCCTTGTTTAGTGACTCCTGTGGACAGACTACTCGATGCCTGTGGAGAGACGACTCTGCCTGTGAGCTGCTGGATTGGCGGTCAGCGCTTGAAACGTCACATGCCGATGCTCACAAGTCAGTGGTTAGTTACTCTTTGACTCACTTTGTCTACTCCATTTCAATGCGTTTCTCTGCCCAGGAGGACGCGATCATCTCTGGCTTCATTCACTTCGGCACTGACAGAACACCATGGATCATACAGCGGAAGACACGAGCCAAGACCAGAGCAAGAACCTCTCCGCTGCCCCTACCGGTCTTGGAGATCTCGACCCGGAACCGCTTCTCCCCTCTTAGCGAGCCGGAACGCGACGCCACCGTGATCATGGGCACGTCCATGGTCCGTCATGTCCGTGCTACCTCAGGTAAGGATAAGGTGCGCACTCACTGCTTTCCTGGTGCTCATGTTATTGATGTTGCTGCACAGGTTCCCGAGATCCTGAACGGTGATGAGCGTGTCAGAGCTGTTGTGCTGAACATGGGAGCGAACGACATCAGGCTGAGGTTCTGAAGAAGTTCTACAGGAGCCTGATCGAGACGGTACGCAACACATTGCCTGAAGCAACGATCGTGTCTGGACTGCTTCCCACGTACAGACAGGACTAGTAAGTCAAAGTCCAAATCACAGTCTTTTGTTGTCCGAACTTAATTGATATGGTTGGTGTGGAACATTATATTGAAACTGTGTCTATTCCTCATTAGTGACACCTGTGGAGAGACGACTCTGCCTGTGAGCTGCTGGAAAGGTGGTCGGCGCTTGAAACATCACATGCCGATGATCAAAAGTCAGTGGTTAGTTACTCTTTGACTCTGACTTCATCTACTCCATGCGTTTCTTTGCCCAGGAGTACGCGATCATCTCTGGCTTCATTCACTCTGGCACCGACACAACACCATGGATCATACTGTGGAAGACACAATCAAGGACCAGAGCAAGAACCTCTCCGTCGCCCCTCCCGGTCTTGGAGATCTCGACCCGGAACCGCTTCTCCCCTCTTAGCGAGCCGGAACGCGACGCCACCGTGATCATGGGCTTGTCCATGGTCCGTCATGTCTGTGCTACCTCAGGTAAGGATAAGGTGCGCACTCACTGCTTTCCTGGTGCTCATGTTCTTGATGTTGCTGCACAGGTTCCCGAGATCCTGAACGGTGATGAGCGTGTCAGAGCTGTTGTGCTGAACATGGGAGCGAACGACATCAGGCTGAGGTTCTGAAGAAGGACGACAGGAGCCTGATCGAGACGGTACGCAACACATCGCCTGAAGCAACGAGCCTTGCACATCTAACCCTTTCTGTGTCTTCTTTAAATAATCTTTTCTAGATTTTTTTTTTCCGACTAAGTTTCACTAGTCGTCTTCTAATTGATTTCTTTAAAAAAGAAAATAAATTTCTAATCCTTAAGCATATCCATGCACATGCTATTTAGTAGGCGCTTAACTGTTCAATTACTGGCCAGAATTGAACAGTTAAAGCCCCACGCTGGGCGCCATGTTTTACAGTGTCCGCTTTAAACTTAACACCTTTTAACCTTATTTATTATCCTCAGGTTAAGTCGAGTAAGTCAAATCTGCCCTAAATCATAAGCATTCGAATGGTATTTACAATTGTTCAGATGACTTCTCTGTGGTCAGTTCTTGCTTAAGGTTTATTAACACTGTTAGATGATTACTTGTAATTAGCATTAGTTATTTATTAATGTAAATATTCCAGAAATAAAAGTTAGGCTCAAATTTAAATTCCTCATGCTCAAACTCTGGAATCTACTCCTGTGTAAGGGAAATCATTATGGACATCAGCTATGCTAATTATTTCCCATCTGTTTTCTGCTGTTATCTCGGGACGCTTGTCCCGAGAAAAGTGGCGTTCGTCAACTCCAGTTTGTCGGAGCTGCTGTACTGCACGTGGGAGTGAACGACATCAGGCTGAGGTTCTACAGGAGCCTGATCAAGACGGTACCCAACACATCGCCTGAAGCAACGATCATTGTGTCTGGGCCGCTTCCCACGTACAGACGAGGAGAGGAAAGGTTCAGTAGATTATTTGCACACACCTAATAAATAGTAAGTCAAAGTCAAAATCACAGTCTTTATTGTCCAAACTTAATTGATATGCTTGGTGTGGAACATTATCTTGAAACTGTGTCTTCCTCGTTTAGTGACACCTGTGGAGAGACGACTCTGCCTGTGAGCTGCTGGATCGGCGGTCAGCACTTGAAACATCACAAGCCGATGTTCACAAGTCAGTGGTTAGTTACTCTTTGACTCTGACTTCGTCTACTCCATGCGTTTCTCTGCCTAGGAGGACGCGATCATCTCTGGCTTCATTCAGTCGAGCACTGACACAACACCATGGATCACACAGCGGAAGACACGAGCCAGGACCAGAGCAAGAACCTCTCCGCCGCCCCTCCCGGTCTTGGAGATCTCGACCCGGAACCGCTTCTCCCCTCTTAGCGAGCCGGAACGCGACGCCACCGTGAACATGGGCACGTCCATGGTCAGTCATCACCGTGCTACCTCAGGTAAGGATAAGGTGCGCACTCACTGCTTTCCTGGTGCTCATGTTATTGATGTTGCTGCACAGGTTCCCGAGATCCTGAACGGTGATGAGCGCGTCGCAGCTGTTGTGCTGAACGTGGGAGTGAACGACATCAGGCTGAGGTTCTGAAGAAGTTCTACAGGAGCCTGATCGAGATGGTACCCAACACATCGCCTGAAGCTACGATCATTGTGTCTGGGCTGCTTCCCACGTACAGACAAGGACAGGAAAGGTTCAGTAGATTATTTGCACACACCTAATAAATAGTAAGTCAAAGTCCAAATCACAGTCTTTGTTGTCCAAACTTAATTGATATGCTTAGTGTGGAACATTATCTTGAAACTGTGTCTATTCCTTGTTTAGTGACTCCTGTGGACAGACTACTCGATGCCTGTGGAGAGACGACTCTGCCTGTGAGCTGCTGGATTGGCGGTCAGCACTTGAAACATCACAAGCCGATGCTCACAAGTCAGTGGTTAGTTACTCTTTGACTCACTTTGTCTACTCCATTTCAATGCGTTTCTCTGCCTAGGAGGACGCGATCATCTCTGGCTTCATTCACTTCGGCACCGACACAACACCATGGATCACACAGCAGAAGACACGAGCCAGGACCAGAGCTAGAACCTCTCCGCCGCCCCTCCCGGTCTTGGAGATTTCGACCCAGAACCGCTTCTCCCCTTTTTGTGAGTCGGAACGCGCCGCCGCCGTGGTCATCGGCACGCCAATGGTCCGTCATGTCCGTGCTACCTCGGGTAAGGATCAGGTGCGCACTCACTGCTTTCCTGGTGCTCATGTTATTGATGTTGCTGCACAGGTTCCCGAGATCCTGAACGGTGATGAGCGCGGCGGAACTGTTGTGCTGAACGTGGGAGTGAATGACATCAGGCTGAGGTTCTGAAGGACTACAGGAGCCTGATCGAGACGGTACGCAACACATCGCCTGAAGCAATGACCCTTGCACATCTAACCCTTTCTGTGTCTTCTTTAAATAATCTTTTCTAGATTTTTTTTTCCGACTAAGTTTCACTAGTCGTCTTCTAATTGATTTATCTTTAAAAAAGAAAATAAATTTCTAATCTTTAAGCACATCCACGCGCACGCTATTTAGCTGGCACTTAACTGTTCAATTACTGGCCAGAATTGAACAGTTAAAGCCCCACGCTGGGCGCCATGTTTTACGGTGTGTGCTTTAATCTTAACACCTTTTAACCTTATTATTTATTGTCCTCAGGTTAGGTCGAATAAGTCAAATCTGCCCTAGATCATTAGCATTCGATTGGTATTTACAATTGTTCAGATGACTTCTCTGTGGTCAGTTCTTGCTTAAGGTTTATTAACACTGTTAGACGATTACTTGTAATTAGCATTAGTTATTTATTAATGTAAATATTCCAGAAAGAAAAGTTAGGCTCAAACTTAAATTCTTTATGCTCAAACTCTGGAATCTTCTCCTGTGTAAGGGAAATCATTATGGACATCAGCTATGCTAATTAGTTCCCATCTGTTTTCTGTTGTTATCTCGGGACGCTTGTCCCGAGAAAAATGGCGTTCGTCAACTCCAGTTTGTCGGAGCTGCTGTACTGCACGTGGGAGTGAACGACATCAGGCTGAGGTTCTGAAGAAATTCTACAGGAGCCTGATAAAGACGGTACCCAACACATCGCCTGAAGCAACGATCATTGTGTCTGGGCCGCTTCCCACGTACAGACAAGGACAGGAAAGGTTCAGTAGATTATTTGCACACACCTAATAAATAGTAAGTCAAAATCACAGTCTTTGTTGTCCAAACTTAATTGATATGCTTGGTGTGGAACATTATCTTGAAACTGTGTCTATTCCTCGTTTAGTGACGCTTGTGGAGAGACGACTCTGCCTGTGAGCTGCTGGATCGGCGGTCAGCGCTTGAAACATCACAAGCCGATGTTCACGAGTCAGTGGTTAGTTACTCTTTGACTCTGACTTCGTCTACTCCAAGCGTTTCTCTGCCCAGGAGGACGCGTTCATCTCTGGATTCATTCGGTCGAGCACTGACACAACACCATGGATCACACAGCGGAAGACACGAGCCAGGACCAGAGCAAGAACCTCTCCGCCGCCCCTCCCGGTCTTGGAGATCTCGACCCGGAACCGCTTCTCCCCTCTTAGCGAGCCGGAACGCGACGCCACCGTGATCATGGGCACGTCCATGGTCCGTCATGTCCGTGCTGCCTCAGGTAAGGATAAGGTGCGCACTCACTGCTTTCCTGGTGCTCATGTTATTGATGTTGCTGCACAGGTTCCCGAGATCCTGAACGGTGATGAGCGCGTCGCAGCTGTTGTGCTGAACGTGGGAGCGAACGACATCAGGCTGAGGTTCTGAAGAAGTTCTACAGGAGCCTGATCGAGATGGTACGCAACACATCGCCTGAAGCTACGATCATTGTGTCTGGGCTGCTTCCCTCTTACAGACAAGGACAGGAAAGGTTCAGTAGATTATTTGCACACACCTAATAAATAGTAAGTCAAAGTCCAAATCACAGTCTTTGTTGTCCAAACTTAATTGATATGCTTAGTGTGGAACATTATCTTGAAACTGTGTCTATTCCTTGTTTAGTGACTCCTGTGGACAGACTACTCGATGCCTGTGGAGAGACGACTCTGCCTGTGAGCTGCTGGATTGGCGGTCAGCGCTTGAAACATCACATGCCGATGCTCACAAGTCAGTGGTTAGTTACTCTTTGACTCACTTTGTCTACTCCATTTCAATGCGTTTCTCTGCCCAGGAGGACGCGATCATCTCTGGCTTCGTTCACTTCGGCACTGACAGAACACCATGGATCATACAGCGGAAGACACGAGCCAAGACCAGAGCAAGAACCTCTCCGCTGCCCCTACCGGTCTTGGAGATCTCGACCCGGAACCGCTTCTCCCCTCTTAGCGAGCCGGAACGCGACGCCACCGTGATCATGGGCACGTCCATGGTCCGTCATGTCCGTGCTACCTCAGGTAAGGATAAGGTGCGCACTCACTGCTTTCCTGGTGCTCATGTTATTGATGTTGCTGCACAGGTTCCCGAGATCTTGAAGTTGACGTGTGCGTCTGAGCTGTTGTGCTGAACGTGGGAGCGAACGACATCAGGCTGAGGTTCTGAAGAAGGACTACAGGAGCCTGATCGAGACGGTACGCAACACATTGCCTGAAGCAACGATCGTGTCTGGACTGCTTCCCACGTACAGACAGGACTAGTAAGTCAAAGTCCAAATCACAGTCTTTTGTGGTCCGAACTTAATTGATATGGTTGGTGTGGAACATTATATTGAAACTGTGTCTATTCCTCATTAGTGACACCTGTGGAGAGACGACTCTGCCTGTGAGCTGCTGGAAAGGTGGTCGGCGCTTGAAACATCACATGCCGATGATCACAAGTCAGTGGTTAGTTACTCTTTGACTCTGACTTCATCTACTCCATGCGTTTCTTTGCCCAGGAGTACGCGATCATCTCTGGCTTCATTCACTCTGGCACCGACACAACACCATGGATCATACTGTGGAAGACACAATCAAGGACCAGAGCAAGAACCTCTCCGTTGCCCCTCCCGGTCTTGGAGATCTCGACCCGGAACCGCTTCTCCCCTCTTAGCGAGCCGGAACGCGACGCCACCGTGATCATGGGCTTGTCCATGGTCCGTCATGTCTGTGTTACCTCAGGTAAGGATAAGGTGCGCACTCACTGCTTTCCTGGTGCTCATGTTCTTGATGTTGCTGCACAGGTTCCCGAGATCCTGAACGGTGATGAGCGTGTCAGAGCTGTTGTGCTGAACATGGGAGCGAACGACATCAGGCTGAGGTTCTGAAGAAGGACGACAGGAGCCTGATCGAGACGGTACGCAACACATCGCCTGAAGCAACGAGCCTTGCGCATCTAACCCTTTCTGTGTCTTCTTTAAATAATCTTTTCTAGATTTTTTTTTTCCGACTAAGTTTCACTAGTCGTCTTCTAATTGATTTCTTTAAAAAAGAAAATAAATTTCTAATCCTTAAGCATATCCATGCACACGCTATTTAGTAGGCGCTTAACTGTTCAATTACTGGCCAGAATTGAACAGTTAAAGCCCCACGCTGGGTGCCATGTTTTACAGTGTCTGCTTTAAACTTAACACCTTTTAACCTTATTTATTATCCTCAGGTTAGGTCGAGTAAGTCAAATCTGCCCTAAATCATAAGCATTCGAATGGTATTTACAATTGTTCAGATGACTTCTCTGTGGTCAGTTCTTGCTTAAGGTTTATTAACACTGTTATGGCTCTTTCAGACTGCACGATTTTCAAAGTAGTCAGGTCGCTGCTCTTTTCACACTGCATGACTATCTTGGCCAGCTTTCAGTCGCTGCTGTGTTCACACTGGACGATGGATCGGCGACAGAATGTTTCACACTGCATGACTTTAGAAAAATCGCCGACAGACTCTGTCTAGCACGCTGCACGCAAACTACATTTCACAACAAACACGCGTGAGATATGAAAAGGAAACAACGCGCGACCACACGTGCAAGACCGGAGTTCTCACGTGAGACTTTTTTTTTTCGACCCGGTTGTGGTACAGCTGGTGAAACAGACACGAGTGCTCCTGCCAAATTTCTACTAATTTTTCTTCCATTTATTGTGTCCAAATAGACTGAGAAGAAGCTTTTTTTGTTGAAACAATGCCATATCATGTTGATATGTGATCTATAACTCCTCCCCGAACTCCCTGCTGCTCTGTATCTTGCTCTCTCACTGGCTGCCGGTGATCGCCGATGTAGTTTTCAGTCAAAACACTTTTCACACAGCAGGATTTTGAATCGCCGACAGGTCCAGATATTTAGCATGCCAAATATCTCACGGGCGTCGGCGACTCGTCGGTGATTCTCTCAGTTCGCGTCTTAGTTCATTCACACTGCGTGATTGTCACTCGCGTGAACGAGCGCCGATTTGCCTGTGATTTCGGGCATTTGTCGGCGATTTCTCAAAACCTGTCGGCGAGCCAAAATCGTGGCTAAAATCATGCAGTCTGAACTCGGCATTAGACGATTACTTGTAATTAGCATTAGTTATTTATTAATGTAAATATTCCAGAAATAAAAGTTAGGCTCAAATTTAAATTCCTCGTGCTCAAACTCTGGAATCTACTCCTGTGTAAGGGAAATCATTATGGACATCAGCTATGCTAATTATTTCCCATCTGTTTTCTGCTGTTATCTCGGGACGCTTGTCCTGAGAAAAATGGCGTTCGTCAACTCCAGTTTGTCGGAGCTGCTGTACTGCACGTGGGAGTGAACGACATCAGGCTGAGGTTCTGAAGAAGTTCTACAGGAGCCTGATCGAGACGGTACCCAACACATCGCCTGAAGCAACGATCATTGTGTCTGGGCCGCTTCCCACGTACAGACGAGGAGAGGAAAGGTTCAGTAGATTATTTGCACACACCTAATAAATAGTAAGTCAAAGTCAAAATCACAGTCTTTATTGTCCAAACTTAATTGATATGCTTGGTGTGGAACATTATCTTGAAACTGTGTCTTCCTCGTTTAGTGACGCCTGCGGAGAGACGACTCTGCCTGTGAGCTGCTGGATCGGCGGTCAGCACTTGAAACATCACAAGCCGATGTTCACAAGTCAGTGGTTAGTTACTCTTTGACTCTGACTTCGTCTACTCCATGCGTTTCTCTGACTAGGAGGACGCGATCATCTCTTGCTTCATTCAGTCGAGCACCGACACAACACCATGGATCACACAGCGGAAGACACGAGCCAGGACCAGAGCAAGAACCTCTCCGCCGCCCCTCCCGGTCTTGGAGATCTCGACCCGGAACCGCTTCTCCCCTCTTAGCGAGCCGGAACGCGACGCCACCGTGATCATGGGCACGTCCATGGTCAGTCATTACCGTGCTACCTCAGGTAAGGATAAGGTGCGCACTCACTGCTTTCCTGGTGCTCATGTTATTGATGTTGCTGCACAGGTTCCCGAGATCCTGAACGGTGATGAGCGCGTCGCAGCTGTTGTGCTGAACGTGGGAGCGAACAACATCAGGCTGAGGTTCTGAAGAAGTTCTTACAGGAGCCTGATCGAGATGGTACGCAACACATCGCCTGAAGCTACGATCATTGTGTCTGGGCTGCTTCCTCTTACAGACAAGGACGGGAAAGGTTCAGTAGATTATTTGCACTAATTGAATTATTAATGTCATTGTGTAATGAACAGAATCTGCTCTTTGTAAATAATTGGAATCTGTTCTGGGAGAGACGTAGGCTCTATTATGCTTCACCTCAGCAGAATCGGAGTGGCTGTTCTGTCTGACATCTCCAAGACGTTACACACCTAATGACTAGTAAGTCAAAGTCGCTCCTTTGAAAGGAATGTTTCTCCTGGTTCCATCTCTTGGACTGATGTCTCTGCCCGTCAGGCTATCTTTTGCTATCTTTGTACAAAAGTCATGCTGGATTTTTCCTGGGCTTTTGCTGCCATAGCTTAGCTTCTTTGGAATAGACTTATTAGACTTTCAATCACCCTTCAACTTATTTCTTATGTGCACATCTAACCCGTTTTGGGTGTTAAACTTAGTCGAAAAAAGATACTAATCTAGAAAAGATTATTTGTCTAGTCGTCTTCTGTTTGACGTTTCTTTTTTTTTTTTCCAAAAAAAGAAAATAATTTTTTAATCCTTATGCATATCCACACACATGCTATTTAGAAGGCACTTAACTGTTCAATTACTGGCCAGAATTGAACAGTTAAAGCCCCACGTTGTGCGCCATGTTTTACGGTGTGTGTGCACTTTAATTTTAACACCTTTAACATTATTACTTTATATCCTCAGGTTAGGTCGAATAAGTCAAATCTGCCCTGAATCATAAGCATTCGAATGGTACTTACAATTTGTTAAGATGACTTCTCTGTGGTCAGTTCTTGCTTAAGGATTATTAACGACACTGTTAAACAATTGCTTGTAATTAACATTAGTTATTTATTAATGTAAATATTCTAGAAATAAAAGTTAGGCTCAAACTTAAATTATTTACGCTCAAACTCTGGAATATCCTTCCCGATATGGTTTGACGCTCTGACTCGCTGTCAAAGTTTAAAACTAGACTATAGATGCATCTCTTTAACCAAGCATTCACATACTGCTTACCTTTTATTCCTCTGTTGAATCAGATCGAATGCTTTTAATACTTTAAAACTTGAAGAGTCTGTAGGTTACTTGTATAGGTTGCATAGTATTTACAATCATTACTTTTCCTGTGTGTATTGCGTGAATGATCGGTGGTTGGGCAGATGTTGTGTTATTGCGGTAGGTGGTATGCCATATGGAACCGTTGCCAATGAAACGCATTACCGCGACAGTGGGGCTCGACAGCCTTAGTCAAACGGGTTGGCACGTATGGTTGGGTTGTGGAGAGTTTGTGAGTGTGTTTTTTTTAACATCTACTCCAGTGTAATGGAAATCATTATGAACATCAGCTATGCTAATTATTTCCCATCTGTTTTCTGCTGTTGTCTCGGGACTCTTTTCCCGAGAAAAACGGCGTTCGTCAGCTCCAGTTTGTATCCAGCCTCTCATGGAGACTTCAGATGCCCCAACACCTGCAATGAGAAGACTAAATGCCTGTGAAGAGACGACTCAACACCTGTGAAAGATGACTCGACGCCTGTGGAGAGACCACTCAATGCTGGCGATATGTTATGCCCTTAATATTACATGATAATCTAAATGTAATTTTCCATGTACTTTTCTGTAAAGCTGCTTTGAAACAAGTATTGTGAAAGGACCATACAAACAAACTTGAATTCACTTGCAGGGCCAACAGACACAGAGCTTACAGCGGGGGAGCTTCACTGCAAAGCAGACAGGTGAGCATACAGGTACGTAATCCTCTTCTTTAAGTGACAGACAGAGAACTTACGGCTGGAGGTTTCACTGCAAAGCAGTCAGTTAAGCGTTCACTACGTGTCTCTCTTCACAGTGGGCTGCCAGATAAATACACTCAATGGTCTGTGAAGTACAACAATGTTAGCCTCTTCTTATGCAGTCAGAATGTGATGGGAAAACTCCGGTAAGAAGTGGACATCCAGGGGTTTAGGTTTACACTTCACACAGCAAACAGTGCATCACATCCCTTCATCTCAACAATTCAGCACTCAGTGGGAAATACTCATATATGGCCGTCGCCCTTCTTCTGAACTGGCATTCACATCAAGAGGTCCCACAGACACAAGAGAGAAGGATGGAAATTGATTTGGACTACTCATGATCTCTCACAAATGATCTTCTGTCCCATGGTTACCTCCTTCTCATTGAATCAGCCTGCTCTTTCTCCCAACTCACAGCACTGTGCCCGTTCGCCGGCCCCACTTCCTCTTCACCACGGCTCACACTTTCTCTGAGAACACTTCTCCCAAAACAATTCCCCGTTTGGTCTGTACTTCCTCCTTTTATACTCCTCTAATCGCAACGTGTCCCAATCGCGAAGCTTTACTCCCCATGCACAGCTGCCAGCGACGTTTGGCTGATCACCCCATTTTCGGGGATTTTTTGCGCTAACCTGGAACTAGCCCGGTGTTCCTTTTTTTGGGTCCATCGGGAGGCAATCACGGCGAACATTAGTTCCGCTTTGTTGGGGACAAAGTTGGATTTTGTCACCCCGTGACATACTTTTTCAAAATTTACAATTTTATATTTGTGCATTTTCCTATCGTTTGCATTTATTTTATTTCTTTCTCTTGTCTTTGCATTTTTGTTCTAAGCCAATTGTTTTTCTAAGCCCGTTGTTTTTTGATTATGATTTAATGTCTTCCATCCATCTTTCATTTATGCTATTTTAATGTTAGTAATTATGCTCTTCTATGTTCCTGTCCAATTGACTATTTTATGCTGATGGGTTTGACTTGTGTGCATCTTGACTTGTTTGACTTGAGTGGATCTTGACTTGTTTGATTTGTTTGGGTCTTGACTTGTGTTTGACTTGTGTGGATCTTGACTTGTGGGTCTTGACTTGTGTTTGACTTGTGGGTCTTGACTTGTGTTTGACTTGTGTGGATCTTGACTTGTGTTTAACTTGTGTGGATCTTGACTTGTGGGTCTTGACTTGTGTTTGACTTGTGTGGATTCTGACTTGTGTTTGACTTGTGTTGATCTTGACTTGTGTGGGCCTTGACTTGTGTTGACATTGACTTGTGTGGATCTTGACCTGTGGGTCTTGACGTGTGTTTGACTTGTGTGGATCCTGACTTGTGTTTGACTTGTGTGGATCCTGACTTGTGTTTGACTTGTGTGGATCTTGACTTGTGGGTCTTGACTTGTGTTTGACTTGTGTGGGTCTTGAGTTGTTTGACTTGAGTGGATCTTGACTTGTTTGACTTGTGTTTGACTTGTGTGGATCTTGACTTGTGGGTCTTGACTTGTGTTGATCTTGACTTGCGGGTCTTGACTTGTGTTTGACTTGAGTGGATCTTGACTTGTGGGTCTTGACTTGTTTGACTTGTGTGGGTCTTGACTTGTGTGAATCCTGACTTGTTTTTGACTTGTGTGGGTCTTGACTTGTGTTTGACTTGAGTGAATCTTGACTTGTTTGACTTGTGTTGATCTTGACTTGTGTTTGACTTGTGTGGATCCTGACTTGTGTGGGTCTTGACTTGTGTTTGACTTGAGTGGATCTTGACTTGTTTGACTTGTGTTGATCTTGACTTGTGTTTGACTTGTGGGTCTTGACTTGTGCTTGACTTGTGTTTCACTTGTGTGGATCCTGACTTGTGTTTGACTTGAGTGGATCTTGACTTGTTTGACTTGTGTTGATCTTGACTTGCGGGTCTTGACTTGTGTGGATCCTGACTTGTGTTTGACTTGTGTGGATCTTGACTTGTGTTTGACTTGAGTGGATCTTGACTTGTTTGACTTGTGTTGATCTTGACTTGTGTTTGACTTGTGGGTCTTGACTTGTGCTTGACTTGTGTTTCACTTGTGTGGATCCTGACTTGTGTTTGACTTGAGTGGATCTTGACTTGTTTGACTTGTGTTGATCTTGACTTGCGGGTCTTGACTTGTGTGGATCCTGACTTGTGTTTGACTTGTGTGGATCCTGACTTGTGTTTGACTTGTGTTGATCTTGAGTTTTGTGGGTCTTGACTTGTGTTTGACTTGTGTGGGTCTTGACTTGTATTGTCTCTGTAGCACAGGAGCACTTTTTAAAAAAAGAGAATTTATTAATGTCATGAAATTGATTTGACAACATTTGCTTTTGTATTTATGGCTTGGACACTTTTTTAAGCCCCTTTGGGTTAGGGTTAGGGTTAAGTACCATTTTTAAGCCCCTTTCCCCCTTCTTAATACTCATTTTGTGTTATGACCATTTTTATGCCTGGTTTATTTGCACTGATGATATTGTGCTTTTGGTTTGCTATTCTTTGCATTCATTTAATCTTTTAATACTTCCATACCTCTGTTACCTTTCCCTTTAAACTACTTGTAAATATGCCCTTGTCTTATTTGTTTTAGTCAATTTTAGTTGTATAGTGCTTCTCAAAATAGTTTAAAAGTGTCTTTATGCCACTTAATTTTAGCCTTTGTGTTCCTTTTCATCATTTATATTGATTTGTCCTAGTATCCTGTTCGAATCCCTCATTTAAGTTTGATTGTCAAATGATGGCATTTGTTCATTATTTCTTATGTGTTTTTTTGATATTGTCTTTAAAATTTTGTATTTTTACACTTTTGTAAAGTCCCTATTTTTGTGCCCCTTGCTTCATGCTCCTTTTTTCCCTTTTGTAGAAATGTTAATGTTTTGTATTTATGCTGTTGATTGAATGTATTACATTGACAAATGTAAGGGAATACAACAGGCAATCATTTTCTTCTATACATAAATGTTTTGAAACAAACAAACAAAAAAGATATGCATTAACTGTACTGTCATTTTAATGCATTGTAGTTTTAGGTCTTGCATTTTTATGGTCTGAAATTAAATATCTCCAGCTTTTTAAATGTTACTGTTCAGAGAGAGACTGTGGGCTTTCTGAGAAGGAACATGGCATTCTTGTATGTACAGTCACTGCAAATCTTCACTACATTAATGCCTTTTATTATTTATACTTGTATAAAGCAAATTACTTGTACAGCTTTATAAAACACAGTCCTGAAACTGCTGCTGTTGTATTTATGCCTTAACCTCATGTATTTAAGATTTTTTTTTTTTATTGTCACAATGGCACTTTTTGTATTGGTGCATTTTCCCATCTTTTGTATTAATTTCATTCCTTTTTCTTGTCTTTCCCTTTTTTTTCCTAAGCCTATTTTTTTTTTTTGATTTAATGTCTTCCATCTTTTATTAATGCTCCTGGTCTTAGTCAATGGGACAGGGCATAAAAAGGCTTTACCCTGTTCTATTTTGTATTGAAAGGAACTGCGTCAAATGGTTTGTCTGTACTTTTTGCATAATTATGCACTTGTTATTCTCTTACGGTCTTTTGTATGTTCGCATTAGTCTCATCATGCCCATTTTCTGCTTTGGTTCATTTCTGTTGTTGTGGTCACTTGTATTTCATGCTGCGATTTCATTCAGCCTGTTTGAATTTTGTTCTTCCCCTGATGGTATCGGGTTCATGGGGTACTTGGTTCTCCACATTAACAGAACTTAATGAAAATGAAGTTTCTTTTTAAGTGTTCAATTGTTGGAATTGGGTGGGTGGGACTTGTAAAGACAAGGGACTCGTCAAAGGACTTGGGTCAAAGGACAAAGGACTGGATCTTGACTTGTGTTAGACTGACTTGTCCAGGGTTGATTTCAACCCTTCACCTCATCAATCAACTGCAGGTGCAAATCAAAGTTACTTGAGCTACAATATATAGGGGTGTAGCCCACTCACAAAGACAATTTCTTTTTTCAGTTTTTTTGTTTTTATTTATATTGTACTAAATGTAATTTTTGTATTTATGGTTTCGCCTCTTGTTCCATTTAAGATCAATTTTGTCCTTTTATTATCCCTTTCTATTTTATGACCCTTTTGTCTCAAATAACATAAACAATAAAAATAAAAACCTAAATATACCATAAATGCATTTTTAAAAATATATTTCTTTCACTGGTTTCTAACATTTTCTCTCTGCTTTTTATGTTATTGTTTGCCTTTCTTATATGCTATTGTTTTCCTTTCTTATATTGTAAAGCTTTGTACTGAAGTTGTAAACTTACTTTTTTGTATTTTGTTGCACTTGATTTTGTTTTCATTTTAATTTCTTTTTTTTTTTTTTTTTACTTAGGTTAACAAAAGGCTTTAAACCGAACATGGAAACAAATATGGACCATAAACCGTGTTTCTACTCTTATGACTTTACTTGTGCCCATATTTTGTAATTTGGAACACCCCATTTGTGAATCGTAACCTTTTTTTGCATTTTCAAAATTACTTTAAGTTTTTGTGAGGTTTATAATCTGTTTTGGTTTATTTTGTGTTTCCATTAAACAGCTGGAGGGACCGGCCAACACAGGATAGACAATCCAGTCTGATGTCCTTCACACTCAGCCTCTCATTGATGCTGCTCCTCCCCCTCCTCTAGTGTCATCTAGTTAATGTGGCCTGTGTTTGTTGGCTACTTTCAGCCCTTTGGTTCATCCTTCATTTTACCCTTTACACCTTGAGTCCACCTTTGTGCCAAGCCCCAGACTTATGGCGGAGCTGGTAATCTGAGGCCAAAGACAGGTCGACAGAGTGAAAGTTAGGTTGATGCTCTATCAGGTCCTCCATGGGCAGTTATTGCCCTGCAGTGCAGTGGTCTTGTCTCTGCCCAGGTCCCCATCTCTAATGGCTCCATCTGAGTTGGTTGTCCACCGAGTTGTAACTGGCACATTCACCAAAGGTCCCCCCTATCCTTTTATTGACTGTGTTTTGGCTCTACATCCCATCCTAAAGCAGCTTTGTCCACTTGACTTATTTTTGCTACTTTGTATTGTTTAACCTTGTTTTTTGTATTTCAGCACATTTTAGGTTTTTTATTTTAGGATTTTTTATGCCCTCTATATTTCAATCAGTCTGTCTTTTTTTTCCCCTTTTGTACAGTATTTTATTTA